TTGTTGAATGATTGCCTGGTTACATTCATTGAGGAGGGAGGTTTTTCATGCAGAAGTTAAGGATGGGGCCTTGGCATCTTGCTTCCAAACCATAGTAGGAAGCATAAAAGCCACAGGAGGCGCTGGTACGTAGAGCTGAAGCTAATGGTAGGTAATTCGTTGTGGACTGAGGTGCAAAGAGGGGAGCTGTTATGGGTTTTAGTATGCTTGAAGCCAAATCCGTAACAAAACATGTGACCTGACTTGCCACCTACTCTTGATGAGAGGAACCCTTGCGCATTATGCATGGCGTGCTGTTTGCTGCATGAATTACTATGGGCTCCTTGCCGAGGATCAAACAAGCTAAGATGTGCCCATTGCTCTTACTCGAAGAACTACTGTCAATGGGTATCTTCAGACTCTTGTATCAAAAGCAGGTATGCCAAACTCATATCCACTGTACTCTAAAGTTTTGTTGTAATTTGACTTATGTAGTCACATTTAGCCTTATCTCTTGGTGTTTTTTCACATAATTTTCAGAGACTGCACATTTCTCTCTTAATTCTTTGCAATGTTGCTCAGTATCTTGATCAATAGAATCTTAGTCCTTTGTTTATTTCTGATCTATTATTGTAGTAGCTGCACAATAAATGATCTCTAGCAGTTGTTGGTTGGTTTGGCAGTGCATATTGGCCCTTCTAGGCTGGCGTTGTATATGTGTGCATATGCTTCTCCAGTCAACCATTTTGTTATACTTAATTATCAATTCTAGTTTTATATTGTCTCCATTTGATGAGTGTTGAACAGTGTTTCCTTTCTAGCCTTGCCATGTATGCAAGTTTCTTTCGTTTAGGGCTATAGGATCACCGTGTTTAAACTTTAACACATACTGGTCTGTACACTCCGTGCTGGCTGATTATAAATTATAGTATTTTATTAGGTTGGACTGGAGTAGTCAAGTGGGCAGATGAGTAGAAAACACCTATGATGTCTCATGATGGTCTCCTGAGAAAGCTTTCATTGATGCAACATTGTTTTCTGATGCTAAGCTCCAATAATTCCTGTTTGGAAGATTTACCCGACTGATACCATAATGCAGAAATGATGCTACTCTTGGTGGTTCTTTAATCATTCACATTGTCAAGTCACTATCTTTTCTGAACATTGATAGTAGCTTTTGGATCACGGTGCTGATTTGGCGGGCAAAAAATTATGGACATCATCTTGTTTATGGTGATGGTCACGTCCTGAGAAGCACATTGACCTGTCATTGGCTGAGCCATTCAGTAAGCGGTCCCCTGTTAGGGTGTGACAAGCGAAGTGGGCAAATTGAAGCGGTAGCTGTGCGGTGGTGAGGAAGAAGATGAGGAAGGACTAATGATAAGATAAAGAGCGTGACTACTAGATGTTTAACGCTGTGTGTAGCCGTCTACTCGTCTTCAGATGTTAAAAAGATTTGAGTGGCAGGTGTAGCCTAGCCTGCAAGATGTGCAACCTTCAGAAGTGTCCAGCAGCCCTCATTCAGTGGATGCTATATTTGTTTCTTCAGGCTACGATTTTTGGGTATTCTGGAGCTGTTCTTTGGAGTTGGAATGTAGTTACTACCATGCTGTATAATTTTTTTTTTTGGGTACAGCTCTGAGTCTAGTATGCTATATCGTGTTAAAAGTGGTGATAAATATTGTGGCAGGTTGACTTTAGGTTCACACACCAGTGATGCATCCATACTGCTACTTTGATATCATCTTAACAAAAGCATTACACAAATTATTGTTCCCATCATCTGGTTGCCTGCTGTTTTCACGGCCTCATGATTGGTGCCATGCCCACGCTTAGCTTTCATTCATCCTTGTTAATTAGGAGAATTAGAGATAGGCATTGTATGTTAAATCTTATCTTGTTAGTTAGGAGAATTGAGATATTAGCATTGTGTTAAATCTTATCAGGTGTCTGGATGTGTTTAGCTTGCTGCTCCTTGCTGCATTTTCCAGTATCTACAATGTGCCACAAAGAAGTCTGACAGTGCTGAAAAGATCCTAAAATCAATGCGAACTTGCCGTTACCAATGCCATATCTGAACCTGAAATCTTATTGAAAATAGTTTTAACGAATTTATGAGACATAGTTCTTGTAAGATTCTAGGAAAACGACATGCGCTCAACCAAATCTGTAGGAAATGAAATCCTCCAAACCAAAGTGCGTATGCAACGCGTGGAGGGCCAACTTTTTTTTTTTTTTTTGGAGAAAGAAACGACAAAGTAGGAAAAAGGTTATTTGGCCTCCCTCAACTATTGTATAAGTTCGATTTACCACCGTTAGTTGAAAATCATTTTTGACCCATCCAACTATTAAAATTGTCCGGTTTACCTTTAAGTAGTGGTTTTGAGAGTGGTTTTTAGCCGACGTATGCGTTATCATGAGCCATCCTATATGGGCGAAAGTCGCCACGATGGAGGTAAATCGAGTTTCATGATAGTTTAGAAATCAATTAGACTTTGTAAAGAAGTTATACAAATATTTTTTTAAAAATTATCTGAATATTTTCTATAATAAATATACATTTACAAATACTAAAATCTGATTTAATACTATAAAATTTATTTAACTTTAGGAAATTGTTTTCTAAAATCATGCTATATCTTTTCGTTCCTTTCTTAGAATCAATTTGAATCTTATATGGTCTCCTAAAATTTGAATTGGCTAAACACGAAACAGAGGATACAAACCAAAATAAATTATTGCAGACCGTAGTGTGGAGCGCCATTAAAGCAACCCACCACGTAAACTACTAAAGTTTCTTGGCGGCAATGTCACATGTACAAGAAATCCAAACAAAACATATAATTCAAACTCTGATTGCATATTAGCAACATGTATCATGTGGTTTAACTTTGTAGCAACGTTGTCTTCTTCAAGGGACACACGACAATGCCTTGTATAGGCTCATTGGACCATTAGCAGCAGTTGACATACGACTTCTTAGTCTCCCAAACCAACTTCTGTGACTTGGCCGATAACATCTGAATGGACGTGACCACTTCCTTTTTTTTTTGTTGTCGCCGTTGTAGGTTTGGACATTCACCGATAGCGCATGATTTAGCAAAGTGGCATTTTGGATATATTTTTTTGAAAACTTGTTTATACAAATTTTAGGAGCATGATTTTTAGGAAAATATGAATCATGTTTCATATTTTTTTTTGAAAACTTATTTGCACAAATATTTGGATATTTTCTTGAAAAATATTTCTACAAACTTTATAAAGTCTAATTGGCCCCCGAATTATAGCTCCTCGTGGCTGATTTGGTGTCACATAGGACTGGCTGATGTCACGGGCATCGCTAGCCAAAACCACTCTTAAAATCGCTTATGAAGATAAACCGGATGGTTTCATTGAGGGCTCTTTGGAAGCAAAGGGGAGCAAAACCCGTGGATGGAAACCCCCCCCACTAAGAACTAGAATGATAATTAAAATGATATCCCCATGGATTACCCATCCAGGGAAAAGTGCGGGATGCCGGAGGAATTGGAGTTTCCAAATTAGGCCTGAAGAGTCTAAATCCGATTTTCTATTTTTTAGGGGAATCTGATTTTTTTTAGAAACATCTGATTTTCTAATTCAGAGAGGTAAATCGTGTAATAGTTTCTTTTCGGCACAAGAGTACCGGGCCGTATATTGTGATGGGCCAAAGCCTCTTATCTCCCAGTCCAGAACGGCATCTCCGCGTGGGTGGCTCTCGAGCTCCCAGGGCGGCGGCCTCGTCGTCGTCGAGCCGCAGGAGTGAGGCCACCTCGCCTGTGAGGCTGGGAACCCCTAACCTCACACTCCCTCCCCCAACTCATCCGCCTCCCGCGGTCTCGACAGGACGCGGTGGAGTGGCGACCCTCCGCAGCTGGCATACGGCCGAGGCGACGGCGGTGAGCACACCGAGCAGGGTAGCAGGTCAGTACCCGAATCATTCCTCACTAGGCTTAGAAAATGCGCGTTTGATTCAGCTCAAGAAACCGATCCCACATTGAATGGAACCAGTGACGCATCTTTTTCTTTGGTTGTTGAAATGCAGAAATTAGTTGAAGACTTAGGACATGACGAAGAAACAGAAGACAATGGATTTGAAATCTTTGTGGGAAAGGTCTGGAAAGGCGCAGAAGACCGCTTCCACCTCGGTGCCGAAACCTCCGCCGATTTTGCTTCGGAGCTTGAGGTTTATTTTGCGCCAAGGGTTGGCTTTTCGGGGGCATGACGAAATCAAAGACTCGCTGAACCAAGGGAATTTTCTTGAGCTCTTGAAATGGCTGGCAGATAATTTGGATGGAGCGAACAAGGCGGTTCTGCAGAATGTTCTGAACGATCCTGAGATGACCAGTCCGAAAATGATCGAAGGTCTCGTTAACGCTTGTGCCAGAGAAACTACTAGGCTTATCAAGCAAGACCTTGGGGAGGAAAATTTTGCAATACTTGCCTGTCTATTTACCGATGCTTGCCATAATGAACAGCTGGTTGTTTGCTTGCGGTATGTTGACAAGAAAGGGAGGGTAGTTGAGAGGTTCCTTGGGGTTGTGCATGTTGAGAACCCGAAGGCCGCAACAATTAAGTCTGCAATTGAATCCTTGCTCAGGGAACACTCTTTGAGTTGGTCTAGGGTCCGAGGACAGGGGTATGATGGAGCAGGCAACATGAGGGCTCACGTGAAGGGTTTAAAGAAAATAATCATGGATAAATCTCCTTCCGCTCACTATGTCCATTGCTTTGCGCAGGAACTGCACTTGGCACTTGTTCCTGCTCTTAAGGAGAATGGTGCTTGTGCTGATTTCTTTCAGCAACTTGGTTTTTTGGTGAGCTTTCTTGAAATGTCCTGCAGAAAAGCTCAAATGCTTCAAGTACCTGAAGCTCAACAGGTTCTAGAAGGTTTGAATCAAGCGAAGTTCTCTAGTAAAAGGGATGATCCCGGCCTGGGATTTCATTATAAAACGTGCGTACAAATTTCCATCCTGTATCACACCATTCGAAGTGTTCTCATCATGATTGGAGGCGACCATACTCACGGTGCAGAGGCTGTCAATTCTCGAAAAATACTGATATATTTTGAGTCATTTGAGTTTGTTTTCATGACACACATGTTGATGGATGTATTGGGATACACATATGCCTTAAATAGATCTTTGCAAATGAGAGACAGTTTTATGATCAATGGCATTAAGCTCATTGATACTACAAAGCATCAGTTAGAAAAAATGCTGGGGGATGATAAATGGGAAAATTTTCTTAAAGATGTCACTACTTTTTGTGCGAAGCATGACATCAAAGTCCCAAGCATGGATGATATTTATGAGCCAATTTTAAAACCAAAGGGGTTCTTGAGAAAAGTCAAGAATCTCCAACATTACCGTGTTGAAATTTTCACAAGCATCCTTGATAGAGCACTTCAAGAGTTGAATGACAGGTTTGATGAGATGAACATAGATTTTCTTCTTGGCGTGGCATCACTTGATCCAGCTTGTTCATTTTACCCATATAACAAAGACAGGTTACTTGAACTTGCTTGCTCTTATCCAGAGGACTTCTCAAGCACAGATTTGTTGCATCTTCCAAGCCAGCTTACACGGTTTATTGCTGATATGCGTGAGGATGAAAGGTTTAGAAAAGTGGAAAGTTTTGTTGAGCTTTCTGTTATGCTTGTTAAAACCAAGAAGAGCCTCAAACATCCTATTGTTTACAAGCTTCTTAAATTGGTGCTGGTTCTTCCAATAGCAACTGCTAGTGTTGGAAGGGTATTTTTTGCAATGGATCTTGTTAATAATAAGCTAACAAATAGAGTGGGGGACCAATTATTGAATGATTGCCTGGTTCCATTCATTGAGAGGGAGGTTTTCATGCAAGTTAAGGATGAGGAATTGGCATCTTGCTTCCAAGCCATAGTAGGAGCATAAAGTCACAAGGAGCGTTGGATGTAGAGCTGAAGCTAATGGTGAGTAATTCATTATGGACTGAGGTGCAAGAGGGAGCTGTTATGGGTTTTAGTACAAAGCAAGTGACCTGACTTTACTCTTGATGAGAGGAACCCTCGCCACATTAAGTATGAAGTGCTGCTTTGCTGCATGAGCTACTATGGGCTCCTTGCCGAGGAGCAGAGCAAGCTGGACGTGACCATTGCTCTTACTCCAGAGAACTACCTGTCAAGGTATCTTCAGACTCTTGTATTAAAGGCAGGTATGCCAAACTCTATCCACCATACTCTGAAGTTTTTGTTATGATCGACACCTTAGTCACATTTGTGTTTCTCTTGGTGTTTTTCTTGTACAGAGACTGCATGTTCTCTCTTGATTCTTTGCAATGTTGCTCCGTATCTTGATCAGTAGCATCGTAATCAACTGTTCATTTCTGATTTGTTTTTGTAGTAGCTGCACAATATTGGTTACTTTGGCACTGCATATTGACCCTTCTAGGCTGGCCATTGTATATGTGTCCATATGCTTTTCAGTCAGCCATTTTCTTATACTTGGTATCCATTCTAGTTCATATTTTGTCTCCATTTGACGAGTGTTGAACTGTGAATCTATCAGTCTACATCATAGACAACTATGCTACAAGCATCATCACATGCCTCTTCCTTGGACCTTTTCCTTTCTAGCCTCGTCATATGTCATGTATGCAAGTTTCTTTGGTTTAGGGTTTAGGGTATAGGATCACCTTATTTAAACTTCAAATATACTGGTATGTACACTCTGTACTGGCTGATTATAAATTCTAGTATTTTGTTAGGTTGGACCGGAGCAGTCAAGTGGGCAGATGATGAGGACACCTACTATGTCTCATGATGGTCTCCTGAAAGCTTATTGATGCGACATTGTTTTGTGATGCTGAGCTCCAATAATGTGTGTTTGGAAGATTTACCCACCGATACAATAATGCATAAATGATGTTACTCTTGGTGGCCCTTTAATCATTTACATTGTCAAGTCAGTATCTTTCTGAACATCAATAGTAGCTTTTGGATCACTGTGCTGGATTGGCAGGCAAAATTATCAACATCCTCTTGCTTTTGGTGAGGTCTGAGTCTGAGATGCACATTGACCTGTCATTGTAAAGCACATTCAGTGGCGGTCCCCTTGTTAGGGTGAAAGAACCAGAATCGGCAAGTTGGGTGGTGGCTGTGCTGGTGGTGAGGAAGAAAGGAATGACTAATGAGAAGATAAAAAGTGCGACTTCTGTTTAACAATGTATAGCCGTCGACTCGTCTTCAGATGTTAAAGAGTTCTATGGCAGGTGTAGCCCAGCCCAGATCTACAGCCTGTGTTCAGTTTCAGAGTTTTAGCAGGCTGTCATTCAGGTGGCGGCTTTGTTCATTTCGCACTGTGTACGCTAGCTCAAGTTTTGGTATCTCTGGAGTTTCCTTGGAAGTTGGAATGTAGTTCCACTATGCTGTATTTTTTTTTAGTACAGTTCAAGTCTAGTATGCTAGTATGTCGTGTTAAAAATGGTGATAAATATTGGCAGGTTGACTTCAGGTTCAGACACCAGTGATGCATTCATGTCTGCCACTTTGATATCATCTTAACAAGAGCATTACACAAATTACTGCTCCCATCATCTGTGTTGCCTGCTGTTTTTCACGGCCTCATGATTGGTGCCATGCCCACGCTTGCTTTCATTGATCCTTGTTAGTTAGGAGAATTGAGATAGTAACAGTGTGTTAAATCTTACTAGTGATTTGCGCGCGCCCATGCGCGCCGAACAGAAAACCGGATTTCTAAACTGGATGCAAGATGTTCAAATACTACATGTATATTACATGAAACACAGCTGGATTTCTAAACCAGGATGCGAGGTGTCGAAATAGTACATATATATATCTTACATGAGACAGTCCTAGGTTTGGATATTCTTAATTTCTATCTATGTGACATATGCTGTATCATCATCGATGCTGAAAGTGTGTTCTTGTTTCACTCGAGGAGGCATGTTTCATGGAGAAGGGGTGATGCTGCGGCTTAAAGACAGATGATCGAATATCTTGGGAAGGTGATCCTCTTCCTCCATTGCTGAGTGTTTCCTGTGTAGGGAGTTCTTAAGAAGAGATGGGAGTAGGTAGGCCTGAATCGAGCAAAACAACGAACAAACACATTCCCAAACATACTCTGCATCTATTTCCTTGTTCACCATCAAAAGTATAGATAACAATTTATCCATAGCTCAGCCGCAAAAGAACCTAAACAAACAGTCTAAGCAGCGGAACCTCTTTAAGAAAGCAATGACATTGGCTTGCTATATCTTCACACTTCTCTGAATCACACTGGTTAATAGCAGCACCAACATTTGCCACTTCGGTAGCTCTCGTTGGTAGTAGAAAGCAGACGCATGAGCTACCTTTACATGTGAAACTAATCCCTGAGCTACCCATAGACATTTTGTACTCCTAGGTAGTACGATACTACCTGTAGGGTAGCCAGCTCATATGCACGGGCATGATCTGACTGCATAGGAAACCAAACGAAAATGCTCTGATTCCCCTGAATGACACCTGGCAGCGGCAACTCAACTCCACCCTGCACATGACAGCCACATCCTTAGGAATTTCTCAAACCAAAGACATATAGGGTAAAGAACAACGAAATCACACTCCATGTGCAGCTGCTATAAGAAAAAAAAAAAACATAAGTAACTCGATGAAATCAGACACACCACACCACACTGCGCCCTCAAAACCCGGAAAGAAAACAAAGCGATTGAGGAAAAGAAACTCACCGAATCTAGCTGATTTTCAATTTCTTGGAAACAACAACTCCTTTAGTACACCACCACTGCAGCATAAAGCACACATAAAAGAAGCATCAGGAACAATGGAAGAAAAAATGCGAGAAACACACAAAAGGCAAAAGGCAAAGACCAATTGGAGAACTCAGGTATGTTCACCAAGATTCCAAAGACCAATCAAGCTAGTTGCAAGTTTCATCACCTTTTTTTTGTATTGCTTCATTGCGTGATCCACTTATGCTTTATATATTATTTGGAAATGCTAACAAGGAACTATATAAATTGGCAATCCAGCAAGGCAATTCCTGAGGAGTGAGCAACAAAAATCAAGTTGCAATCCAGTAATGCAAGCTGATAGCCTAAGTAGAAAACAACTAAGAAGAGGTAGGTGGCTAAAATGCAGAGATCTTTTTTACTACACTCTAACACATTGACTCTATCTATGTAGAGGGGATGGAACCCAGTCATGGAAATATTACTAAAATGGGCTATGGCATAGATAAACCAAGATTAAGACATATATTTGCTTGTATATTTATATTTCATTTCAAGTATAAATAGCTTTCCTCGGTAGCTATGCGCGAATCATCACACACATGTATCATAGGCGGTCATCTGAAGTATAGAACAAGGTCACTTTCCTCATTAGCTCGATTGTTGTCAACCAGAGGAGATCTGCACACATAGATGGAGAAGTCATTAGGCTTTGGTATGATAACACTAAACTATTAAAGGGTCTAAATCTAAACAACTCATAGGCACCATGTGCTACCTTACAGCCTCCCTCATGTCCAATTAATTTTATGTAGTATAGGATATAGTATTTTGTATCAAGACAACTCCATCAATAAAATACCAAGTTCTATAACTCCATAAATCGTGAAATGTTTGCCTAAATAAAAAATGACATTTTCCCTTATGGAGCAAAGCAAGATGGTAACAATTTGCAATAGGGAAATTGAAAATATGAGATGCTAATGTCGATTGGGAGCTTTCTAACCTTTGTCTAGGCAACAAACACATATGGTACGGTAGAGTACGTCAAATCGAGATATGATCATGAACTAGTAAATCTGCCCAAAGCAAATAAAAATGGATCAAAACAGATATCGAAATAATCAAGCAAAGGGATAAAAGAAAAGAAGGGAAACCAAAATACCATGCTTCATCCCTGCTATGCAAGTAGCAGTGTTCATCTACTCCGTTGCCCACCTTCTTCCTTTTCTGTTTCCCAGCTTCATCCATGCTTCTGGCTAATCACTCATCATGTGGCGGCCATTATCTACTTATTTCTTTGTAACACCCCGGTGTTATGCCTACATTTAGGCACTGCAAATCATGCATATCATGCATCATCAAGCATCCTAATCATACATGCATAATCTTGCATATAATAACTGAAACATTACTTCGAAACATACGAAATATGTTTGTGAAACGTAAATGATGCATACATTTATTAGAGTTGTTTTGCTCTGATTCTTGCTTGCTAGGTTAGTAGAACATGTTTGGCTGCTATTGTAAATCATCTAGCAATGTTTAGTTCAATTTTTGGAGCAATGTGTGTATTCAAATTAATTCAAAATTTGGCTTCAAAAATAAATTCCAAAAATTAGGGTTTTGAGCTAAACGTGAACTTTGATCTTTCAATTCAAAATCTAGAAAGAATTTGGCTGTGGTCCTAAAAGCAAAGTTGTAGAGAATTAAATTCTAAACAACTTTCATTTTTGGTACATTTTCAAAAGAGGTCATTTTCTTGCTCAAAATAATATTTGAAAGATAGCATTTAAAAATCCCTTGAAAATACAAATGAAAAAGGATTTTTTGTTTTTCATGAACCGCCCATTACGCTTTCGGCCCAGCCCATAAAGCGGCCCAACAAAGCCCCAGCGCTCCGCCTCGCCCGGCCCAGCGCCCGCGCCGGCCCGGCTTGCCTCCAGCGCCCGCGCCATCCCCCCTCATGGCGCCACGCTTACGCCATGATCAAGGCGGAAGAATTCACGTGGCGACCCGCAGCATGTCGCCCGCCAGCCAGCGTCGGCCATGACGACACTGCATACCGCGCCCGCCTTCACCTGCTGGTGCCCGTGGCGCTCGCTCCTCCGCCCATGCCGCCTTCCTTCTCCTCGGTGCGAGAGCCTCAAGCTCGCCCTCGCCGCTACATGCCGCGCAGCGC